CAACCTGCGAAGAGTACAGCATGGGAGATACCCATGCCGCGCGCACTCTCATCCAGGGTGGCGCGCAAGAGCGATGCCCTCAGCGCCGAGGGTACTTTGATGGCGGTGTCCCAATGGTCCCGGAGCTGCTCCGCCCAATGCTCCACGATTCATCGAATGCGTGACCACATCCAAATTGTCATAGGGGGCGGCCCCGGTACACGGTCGCCTCCTGATGGTTTGCTTGCAATCGCGCCGATGATGCCGCGGATCTGGCGGGGGGCACATGAGAAAGTGCTCAGCGTCCGTGAGGATCTGAAGATACTGCAATATGTTTTCTGGTGGGAGCCTCCGAAGGGCCCGGCGGGGTCGATTCCTCTTTTACGCCTATCGTGCGAGTCGCATCGAACAGCTGTCCAACGTCAGCGGGTCGATATCTTCATCTCGCGCTCGTTCTCGGCAACGGACGAGCGCTTCTCGCACTGCAGCCTGTCGTTCAGGGGTTGCTGTCCATGTCTTGTCCACATTTGACTCTCGCCGTTCATGATACCGCCGGGGTCTTGACCATGGTGGTGGATATCATCTCCTCGAGCCTCGGAGCAGCCGCGTCCTTCGTCAACCTATGGAGTGCTCCTGGGGATTGTTCCCACATAGTCTGCGCTCACATGATGAAGCCCTTGTTGCCGTCTGCTAGTGCCCGTCGTCCTGCTTCTCCTGCGAGCAATATGGCGAGGTCGAGAATGTTCTGGCGTTCCTGGGTACGGGACTGAGAATGTCGTTGCTGTTCTGCTGCCGTTGGTTGGGCAACTCTGTGTTTTTGCACTTGTTGGTGATGAAGAGCTTGTTGATGCTGTCGTTGAAATATTGCCGTCGCTGTTGTAATAGGGTCAGGTTTTGTGCCGTGCTTGGGAGAAGGACGAAGAGGACGAGGAGGACGAGGAGGAGGAGGAGGACGAGGAGGAGGAGGGGTAGGAGGGGGCAAGGAGAGGATCGGCTGCGAACATTGGGGGGGGAAGCGAGATGGGGCGGCGAGCCTGGGGGTGAGCGGGTCAGAAGGCAAACGGGGCTCCTCCAAAGCCGAGACCGGGGTGGCAGTTCCCCGAAATCCCCTCCTGGACCCCCCGCCCCTCCCCTTCAGGGGAAGTTTCAGGAGGGGTGTTTCTGGCCCCTTTGCTGTCTCCGCAATTAAAACTGTGCGTAGCCCGCCTAGCTCTTAGCGGAAGAGATTCGCTCCCGCCCCGCCGACCAAAAGTGCTTCTGAGCCCCAGAGGGGGTGTGGGGGGCCTTGGGCCGCCGCGGGGGGGAGGGAGGTGGAGGAAGCAAAACATATGACCAGTTTGAAACATATTCCTATCCCTGGGTTTGACATCACCTCACCTCGATGCCAATCTTAAGGATTCTCTCAGTTTCTGAGGGCCTATCCCTAAGATTGTCCTCGCTGTTTGCTCGCCCATCTTAGGATAGGGATGCGTTCGAGGCTGGTTAACATAGGAAACCCTTGAGATCCAGACGCGCTGGAATCTCACACCGGGCGTTTTTTCGCTGTGTTTCGGGACCCGGGGGCCATCACGGATCGATCCGGCTCGAAAAAGGCCGCTGGAATCCCTGGGCCTTGGAAGTGATCTGTTGCTACGTTTCTTACCAGCCTCGAACATATCCCTATCCCTAAGATTGACACGCCAAAAGGCGATGACAATCTTAGGGACGCGCCCTCAAAAAAAGGGGATCCCTAAGATTGGCATCGTGATGAGGAGGTGCCCAGCATAGGGATAGGGATATGTTCCACGCTGGTCAGTATCTCTGGGGCCTTGGAAGTGACCTGTTGCGACGTTTCATGGTTCGCGATGCCGGATCTCAGGAAGAGAGGAAGGAGGGAGGGAAGATCGGGGGCGAGCCCAGGGAGGGAAGTGACGAGGGGCGGGCCTGCTCAGAAGGCTTGCCCCCCTCCATTCCCGTGCTCGCCCCCCTGCAGGAAGATCGAGCAGCCATCACTGACGCAAACAGAAGCCTTCGATGGTCCGCGCGGATGTATTGGAAACGCGCTGCACCCCCCCCTGGCAGTGCATCCGCCGCCGCCATTGGCGCGCTCCGCGCGTTTGGCAAAGGGTCCAGCGCAGATCCAAGAAATCAGCGCGGACCTCCGACCACTGATACTCATATAGATAAGCATCAGATCAGCATCGCTTGACAAAAAATATTGATGCACCTCAACAATCACGCGAGGGGGAAAGGATTGGGGGGCGTAGTAGGTTTCGAAGACGTTCCCTGCGTTTGCCCCATGGCCTCGGCTGCACAACGACATAGTGGTAATATGTCTGCTCCTCAAAGGCGTGCTCCCGACCCGAACACGTCGTGTAAGCACTTTGGAGCACATCACTTCCCGAGCGGCATGGCCAGACAGCGCCCGCCATGGAGCATGTGCAACAAGATTTCTCGGCGCGCGCTGCGCCCCAGTGGGGGCGACGCACTCCTAATAGTCGCATGTTTTGATAGCGCTGGTGTCAATCTCCAGGGCAGTTTAGGCTCGGGGCCGACCTCGCACGCGCTAGGCCTTGGTGGCCCCTCGTGGGGAATGTGGAGGGGCCGCCTTAGCCGCGGAAGGGAAGAAGTGAGGAGGGCTCGACCGACCGGCCGGATGGCTGAGGTCAGCAAACTCGCAGGATGAAACAAAACCAACGTCTTAGTCTGATGGGCACCAAGAAAACTGCAGCTGGAAAACAACGATTGCAAATCGGAGGGAAGAAAAGGTGTTACGGAGGCAACTGCAGGGAGTGTTCGTCAGAACGAACAGGGACGACCAAGCCCGATACAAAGACATCCGGCTGGCTGCTGAAAAAGAGCGATTCAGCGAGTTAATGCCGGAGCGGGTCACTCTTCGACCACGGATATACCGGCGCGGGTTCAGAATCTAATTTCCCAGGTGTTGCATCCTGACAAACAGGAAGGAGGAAGCGAGGAAGGAGGGACAGTGACACAAGAAACGATACATCCCATGTCGAGGCCCCGAGGCGCAAGCCACACGCTTGAACTGGTACGTGACCATCGCGAACCCGAAGACGAACTTCAGAAGCCCGTAGAATTGCCAGGGACAGCTCCTGTAGTTCATAAGCTGAAGCGAAGAAACCCAGAGGCGGCCCACTACAACACCGAAGCAGTACTGGGCATCGGGCAACTCCAGTTCCATACTACAGAGCACGGCTGCAACTCTCTCCTTGCAAGCAATGCGCCACAGCGGATTCGACTGGGAGCCTCTGAAACGTCTATGGCACAGCAGCCTCACGCTGTGGCTCCTGGAGCGTGTCACACCCTTGACTGGTCCGTGGCCACCGCGAGCCCGAAAGAGGACAAGGGCCCAGGAGAACTGCAAAAACAAACTGAAAAACTGCAACGCCAACCCCAAATTCCAGGCAACACGGTACGAATCCAAAGCGGGATCGCCGTCTCCGAAAAAAAACCCTGCTTCACCCTGGCCCACCAAGCCAACTCCGAGGAGAAATGCCGGAACGCAATTGCAAAATGCACCATAGCAGATTGCACGGGAAACTTCTGCAACATACGTGCCGCAACAGAGTATGAACAGGCGGACGACCCTCATGCGAATAATTGCGAAAATCATCCAGCCACCACAGATCCAACAAGTAGCGCGAACTCATTGAGACTGAGAAAGACATCCCCGTGGCACAAAACGCGACAAACCAGCATACAAAAAATACAGAACATCTCCAAACGTTGGCAGACATGGCAGCGAACTGTAGAAATAAATACCTGGCACTGGCCAGTCTCAGACTCTGTAGCCCCACCACCATAGACATGCGACGGCCTATTTCGCTGGTCAGGCTAAGAAAGCACCGCGACCGTATCTTATTGTATGGCGGCAGCAAGCCTTACCAAGGTTAAGCCCAACACAATGACGAGCGCTGGCCGCTGATGCTGGGAAATATGTCATCGTCCTGCTCGGCACGCTTTAAACGGCGCTACATGACGCCCGCGGTCAGGTTCGAGTGCGGCTGGGGAAGAGTGCGGGAATAGCGTCGTCCACTGGCAAACACCACCACGATTCTTCAAATACTTATCGGCAAACTGCCTGGCACGTTGGCACCAAACCTGATCATGCAACTCCGCGTGCGCACCCGTGTAACACCGAGGACCTTCAGTGCCATAGCGGGTTTCGTTCGTGCTGAAGGCGGCCGAAACACTTTAAGTTGATGGTAGCGGAGGATTAGGATCGCGCAGCCGGCGGCTACATGCCCATCGAACTAGGAAAAGGAAAATGGCCTTCATGTTGGAGTACGAAGCCGCTGCGCACATCGCGGTCAAACCGAAGGCGCCGCTAATGGCGAGGGAGCCGTTAGGAAATAATGGACGTCCTGCCTGCACACGTGCCGCTCTCTCACGACTACTTCGAGTATTCTGCAACTGGCCGCCCTCCGAAACGTAAATCTGTTCTGGCGCAAATGCCGTTGGCGTGCGGCCTGCTCTGGTATAGTCGCTTTATCTGGAAATCGTCAATGCGAGTGTTGCTGGAACCAGCCCAATACTAGCCCCTGAAAGGCTGGGCTTGGGCTTCGTGCAGTGCCCGATGGGAGGGCCCAGATAGTTCCGACAATCCTGCGGCAGCTGAGCACAAGCCTGGATTATAAAAGATGGTGACTGCTGCATGGTCGGGCGTTGGCAGAACTGGGTTTAATGGAGCCTGCATTAATGATGTGTACATGGGGGCGCCCCCCCCCGCCCCGTTCCGCTAACCGGAACTGCCGTCACCCACAAAACACAAGTCACGGCAAACCTGGCTTAGTGAATCTGGCCAATTCAGGGGCCCCAGGGCCCTACCACAAACCGGGTCCCCTTACCCGGGGTCCTGGCCATTTTTTTTCGGAGAAGGGGAACGCAGCCACCTGACAATCCACCCACCCAGCGTCAGAGTGAAACGCGCAGAGCTCGAAAAAAGTAATGTGATACAATTGCTCCACGGGCGAACGCCTTTTCACGTGCATCGACCCCGTGGTGCAGAGCCCCCCGTTTCAGGCTAAAGCCGCGCGTGGGGACGGGATGCAACCAGAGATGGGCCTGGCGGCGAAAAGCCCGAAACTGCTGAGAACCTCAACCTCTGCACCCTGCTTACGAAAGGCTGGTCCCGCCTTCTGCTCGAGCGCAGCCGTGCCGACGTCGAGAACGACCCCAGTCGCCAACGCGTGCGGGCTCGCGTCCGCGATGGCCAGGCCGGGCGCCAGCAATGACTGACTGCGCGTACAGACTGACGCGAACACGCCGCCCTTCGTCGACCAAGAGTTCTGGAACCACTTCAGCTCTTCCCCCGCGGCCACGGAAAGGTGGGAGGCGCGACCTAGCGAGCAGCCGAGCCTAAGGGTAGGTCGGGCATGTCTCCCTACAGGCGGATTTTGGAAGAAAAACTAGCAATAGTAAGAAAATATTCCAAGGTTGACAAAATTGGTATTAAACAAATCGTCCCAAAACTATGTTTTGACTATTTTTGATGTTTCCTCCTGTAGAGGGACGGGCCCGACTTAAGCCTAAAGCTACGTACAATTCGGGCCGCGATTGCTTGAGGAGCGAGGGGGGAGGAGGGAGGGCTGAAAAAGGGACGGCAGGATCAATCAGCCACGATTTGGGAAACGGTCCGACCCCATCGGATCGCGCGTCGGATCGGGGCGCACCCCGGCTCATGGAGCCGAGACAGGATCGGATCGGGCCACGCCAGTGTGCACAACGGCCCCATTCCCACATCGGGCATCCTCGGGTCGTCGGGACAACAGAACCGAATCGGATCGCGGGCCGGCAGGAAGCGGCCTCTGACCCGATCGACCGGATCGAAATGGACCCTGCAGGCGCTGAGTACCGGACCCAATGCACCCAGATCGACGTTCGAATTTCGAGGTTCGAGGTTCGAATTTCGATCTTCGAACTAAGTCGAATGGATCGAACTGAATTCGGAGATCGAGGACCTTCGGCGAGATTGGTCCTCTTGGGCGGCCGCGTGGCCACCGCTGGACTTCATTCAGGCTTTTGGGTAGAACTGAAGGGGCCCTGGGACACACACATAAATACACACACATAAAAATATTCCACATATGTTTCCACATTTTCTGGGATTTTGTTTTCCCCCCCACTTCCCATATTTTCGCATATGTTCTGGGGAATCGACGATGAATTGTGTCTGTGCGTTTTTTTCACCTCCTGAAGGACGCACCCCTGGACAGGTCCACGGGGACACGGTGGACGGAGTGTGGACCCAGACCTCCCCGGGCCAGGTCCGAGGTCCCGCACGAGCACGACGCCCAGCTTTCGGGCAGCCCCTGGGAGTCTCCCATACCCTCCTGTTGGCCGACGCCACTCTACGCGATTCGCAGGTAACCGACGCCGATCAACGCAAACCGACGTCAATCGACCCTGAATCGGCGCCATCTCATCAAGTACGGGCGCTACTCGACGCGACTCGCTAAAGACAGAGTCAAGACAGTATGCAAGGCTCCCATGACTTGCTACCGTCGCGAAATGGCAGAGTAATTGTAGATCGAGCCAAGGTCGTTCGCGGCCTGCCCTGGGAGCGCTCTGGCTGAACGGGCACCTTCGCACCGATAACGTCGCTCTTAGGCTCCAGGCCACGGCTAATACCTACAGCGTGTGCGGTTGAATGTTCAAGCACGGCATCTACTGCAGAATTGATTTACCCCAGAACCCAGAATTGATTTGTTCGTCGAACCTACTAACAAGACAATAGTCGCAGATCCGTCAACCATCCTACGTCTTCGTTTCGTAAGGTCTACGAACCAAACAATTGTGGGGTGAATGTATTCCGTAGTCGATCCCCTGCTCGAATGTTGCTTGCGATTCTCAGCAAAAGCGGGGGAACGATTGTAAGTCCCATGACCGTGACGCATCGACTCGGGCCTGAAGGGGTCGTGTACCCGGAGGGTATGGAAATCACCACGTCGGCAATCTGGGTGCTCTCTGAGCCATGCCTTCCTACAACTCCGCCTCCAGATCCTCCTCCTCGTCCTCCTCTGACCCACGATCCGATCAAAACAGATCCCTCGACCCAGCTCACTCGGGATCATTATGGCAGATTTGTTCCCTCCCGTATGGATCTCTGCCGGGCCCGAAACGGGCCCCAGACTCCGAAACCTGGGAAAAGCCTCCGGCGGGATGCTCCGGATTCTCTACCCTCCTTCTTCCCTGGCATCCGACTTTGTGTCCCAAAACGTGGCTCCCCAGAGTCGGGGGGGAACAAGAGGGGGGGATAGCAAAGTGCAAGGTAGAGAATCAGCTCACGTGGCCGATTCTCCCGGCGCCTCCCGGCGCCGGAAGGCGCTCGTGTATCTAGGAATGGGCCAGGCGGCGGGGCCGAAACCAGCTGCACGCAGCAGAGTTTGCACCCCACCCCCCTTTCCCTGGCCCCCCCCCTTTCGTTCGACCCGACGGAGGGCCTGGCCTAAAGTCGGGCCTGTCCCCCTACAGGGGAATTTTCGACGAAAAATAGAAAAAACCAAAGTACACCAACAAAAATCAAAACATATTCAACAAAAAACAATCCCCAGACTATTTTTGGACTACTTTTGGGGTATTTTTGTTTTTCGTCGAAAATCCCCCTGTAGGGGGACAGGCCCGATGCAGGGCCTGGCCGCTTCCCGGGGGCCAGGCGCTCCCCCTCCCCGAGGCGGCCCCTCCTTCGACGGCGCCCCCCCCAGGGGCCCTGGCGAGGGCCGCCGCTGGAACCCTGTGGAGACCAGCGCGCGCCACCGCTCGCAGAGCAACTGCTCGCCCGTGGCCCGGCTCCGCCACACGTGCGACACACTATTGGCGGCGCGCACAAAAGGGTGGACACATTATTGACGGCTCCGCCACACGTGCGACACATTATTTCGGGGATGGACAGAACCCACTTTAGTAAAACGTGGTTTCGTGAAAACGACCCCGGGGCCCAAACCTGGCGGGCGCAAGCCTGGAAAACGACGGCCGCGGCGCCCTCTCGAGAACCGAAAATGGACAATGCACTAATCGACGTGTCAGGGTGGGGGTTCTGTCCACCCACGATTATTGACGGCGTGCACAAGGGGGTGGAGGGAGGGGGGAGGGCTTCTCAGAAGGAGGCTGCTTCTCAGAAGACCCAGGCCTCACATCTAAAGATGAGGCCCGCGCCTTCTAAGAAGCAGAGGGTGCTTCCAAGAAGCCCTCACCCCTCCCCCTTCCCCCTTCTGCGCGTGGCTAAAATTGCCCCAATACGCCATACTTACGACACATTACATCGATACGGACATGCCTTGTTCGGACGTCTGCTGGGCATTTTCTGAGGGCGGAGGGCTCAAGGTTAAATCCATTTGGGCTTTTGCACCTCGAGATTGAAACCTTTTGCAGATTCGAACCTCGAAAATCCGTGTAAACGACATTTCAAATTTCACCCTCTGCCCTCCACCCAACAAAAAATACTCGGGCTTGCGAGTACGCACTTTGCGAGCAGGCACTTTACCATGCGAACAGGGCGCCCCGCGGCTGAGGGGGAGGAGGAGGAGGAGGAGGAGGAGGAGGGAGGAGGAGGAGGAGGAGGAGGGGGGGAGGAGGAGGGGGAGGAGGAGGAGGAGGAGGGGGGGGAGGAGGAGGAGGAGGAGGAGGAGGAGAGAAGAGAGGAAGAGAGGAAGAGAGAGAGAGAGAGAGAAAGGAGCAGGAGGAGGATGAATAGGAGAGGGAGGAGGAGAAGAGAGGAATAGAGAGAGAGAGAGAAAGGAGCAGGAAGGAGAAGGAGAGGAGAGGAGGAGAGGAGGAGGAGGAGGAGGAGGAGGAGGAGGAGGAGGAGGAGAAGGAGGAGGAGGAGGGGGAGGGGAGGAGGAGGAGGAGGAGGAGGAGGAGGAGGAGGAGGAGAGGAGGAGGAGAAGCAGGAGCAAGAGGAGCTGCACCGATTTCGCCGGGCCGGCGGCCCAGGCCCGGGCCCGCAGCCGCGCCTCCAGGGCGGCGCGCCACGCCGGCGACGCGCCGCGTCGGTGCGGCCGCGTCTTGCTCGGACGTCTGCGAGCAGGCCCTCTGCGAGCAGCGGGGCGCGCTCGGCGATCCGCTTTGGACGCCCGCTTTGGCTGGCCTCCTCCTCCTCCTCCTCCTCCGCCTCCTCCTCCGCCCCCTCCTCCTCCTCCTCCGCCTCCTCCTCCTCCTCCTCCGCCTCCTCCTCCTCCTCGTCCTTTCGGCAGAGAGGGAGGCCTGCGCGGATTTCTGTTGGACGCCAGGAATGGATACGAAAAAATTGGCACAATGCCCAACAACAAGTGTATTGTCCCAAGCCGACGGCGGCCGCTGCTGGGCTGGCGGCCTCTCTGCCTCGAATGGAGACAGGCCGCGGCGGCGCGGACAGCGAGTCCTGTCCAGAAAGAATCGGAACTGCTGTTGAGCATTGCATCCATTCTGCCCGTGCCCATCTCGTTCGTGCAGACCGTTTGCTCTGACCCCCGTCTCTTGAGCCCCGACCTACCCCCCTCTGCGCGTGGCCGGCGAGGGGCGGCACGCGCCCAGGGAGAGGAGGAGGAGGAGGAGGAGGAGGAGGAGGAGGAGGAGGAGGAGGAGGAGGAGGAGGAGGAGGAGGAGGAGGCGGAGGAGGAGGAGGAGGAGGAGAAGAGGGGGGAGGAACTGCTGTTGAGCATTGTATCCATTCTTTCCGTACCCATCTCGTTCGTGCAGACCCGCGGGCGGGCGCCCGCCGCCGCCGTGGTCGGCCCGGCGCGGGCGCGCGCGGGGGGCCCGCGCGGGAGGGCCTCCGGGCCCTGCCCCGGGCCAGCTCCGCCGAGTGGACCAGGTGCATGAGCGCCAGGAACACGGGCACGAGGCAGGCCACCTGCGGGCCCCCCGAAAAAGGGAGGGGGCCCGGGGGGCACAGCAAGGAAGAGGCACAGAGCCGAGGGCCCCCAAATGTTTTTGTTCCACATCTGCTGGGTCGTCGTCTCCCACCCCGCTTTCCACGGGTGCCAAACATGCGCCTCTGTATTTTTGGTGTCCGTTCCATGAGAGCCTGCGTGGCCCCTGGCGCTGTCCGATTTGGACCAGATTTGGACCAGATTGGACGAGCTTCGCCCCTTCACAACAAGGGAAACGACAAGAAAGAGGCGGAGGCGGAGGAGGAGAAACAGGAAGAACGAGGAGGAGCAGGAGGAAGAACCGAATGCGGTCCCAACGCGTTCCAAATGCAGGAAAATAGCTGATTTCACTGTCGCCACCCGAAGCTCCCAGGAACAGGCCTCAAATGTGTTCGGCGTTTCGACATTTTGGGCGGCAAGGGGGCTCGCCACCGCTCGGACGTCCATTCCCTGTGTTTTTTTGCGGTATCGTGCGTGTTTTTTTCGCGAAGTGATCAAGGATGCTCCTCGATGGTCCTCGCCGAAGGAAAAATGTACACGTCCGAGCGATGCCAAGGGGGGTGGGAGGGCGGGGTCTGGCTCCAGACCGCTGCTCCGGGCGCCTGTCTGCAGAGGTGCGGCCTCTGGGGGAGAGACTCTGCCCGCTCGAAACGGGCGCCAGACGTATGTCGGGCGTGTCCCCCTACACGGGGATTTTCGACGAAAATAAAAAACATACCCCAAACATGCACCAAAAAGGTCAGAAAACACTCAAAAAATAGCCCCCAGACTATTTTTTGAATACTTTTGTTGTATTTTGAAATATTTTGAATTTTTCGTCGAAAATCCCCCTGTAGGGGGACAGGCCCGACTTAACGCTAGACGTTTGACTATGTGTCGGCGGCGAGCGAGGGCGGAGTGAGGAGGAGAAGGCCTTCTCAGAAGGCGGCGGGGCTTCGCAGAAGCCCCCTGGCCTCCTGAGAGGTTATGAGCGTCTTCGGGGGCGGCTTTTAGGACCACTTCTCAGAAGGCCGGGGGGGCTTTCGGACCTTCTGAGAAGGCCCGCCCCTTCTCACTACCCCCCCAGGCTCGCCGCCGAGAATTTCCTTCGCCGGGGGGCGACCCTCATGTGCGCTGCTTTTCACTGGGTCCCCAAGCTTCGCGCGTCGCGCTGCGCAAAGTACGAAAGCGCGAGTATCGTCGCGACCTCGCGCCGCACCCTTGAGATCAGCATCTATCCAGCGCAGGCCTCGAAGCGCGACCCGGCGGGTGGCCGAGCCCCAATCCAACCGCCTGGTCGACACCTCTGGGGGGCGCGGATCAACGAAAAACCAATCCGTCGAATGTCCAGGTCTGGCCTCGTCCACCAGGGGAGTGGAGCATGTAACAACATCAACACAACTGCTGCGCTACACGCACGGCTCGTGGGGCGGTGGGCCACGAACGAGGCGACGAAGAACAGGGCAGCAGAGCAGGAGGCAGGGACGGTCTGGCGCGCTCAAAGCACGAACTGCTCTTGCAAACAGAATCTGATTGTCAAAACCATGCGTCCTGACTGCAGCAGCCTGCAACCGGGGGTGGGTGGGGCGGGCGCTTGTCCACCAGGCCGACTCTCCCGATCCAGAAGGCCGCGTCGGGGTCTGTACCTTGGGAGGTCGACTCAAACCCTTCCCCCGTGCGTGCTCGGACACGCGAACGTAAGCGGCCAGGTATGTCTGACCACGGCCACTGGTGCACTCACGCAACCCCCTGAGAGCAAAGCAGAACACAACGCACGTGATCATACGGACGCATGCGGCTGATCAAATACATTCCCAACTCGGACCCTTGGCTTCCGATGCTCAATATTCTTGCGTAGAATTAACTGCAGCCCCCCGCAGGGAAGCCCAGAATCGAATCGAGAAGTCGGATCGGCGATCGAAACGAATCGGATCGACGGATCTCGGCCATCGTCGGGGAGCAGTCGGATCGGCGGAAAGCGGCAGGCTAGTAGGCCTCCGTTGAGAAATCGGAGCCCACATCGGATCCCGACGTCGACACCGAACCGCATCGAACCGGAGGAATCCAAGTGAGCCCTGCCCCCGAGGCGTTTCGGCTCTCCGGCGCTGAAGGGCGGCCCACGAAGCTTCCCAGAACATCGCCCCAACACGGCCCGAGAAGCGCCCAAGAGGGCCCCAAGACGGCCCAAGAGGGCCCCACGACGGCCCGCGAGGCGCCCAGGACGGCCCAAGAGGGCCCACAGACGACCCCCAGAGGGGGCCCAGATGCTGGACCCGAACGGCCATGTCGAGCCATCGGCCCCGAGGGCACCCCGGGAGGCCCCGAGAGGCTCACAAGAAGTGCCCAAGAGGCCCCAAGAGGCTCCCAAGAGGCTACCAGGAGGCTCCCAAGAGGCCCCAGAGCTGCTCCCAAGAGGGCCCCCAGGGCGCCCCGACGCGACCCGACGAAGCATCCCTGAGAACTCTGATCCACAACCCAGGCGCGGTGGCGGGATGGGCCGAAAACCCACCAGTAACTGAAGCCACGCGACGCCGAGTCCGTTCGTTCCACCAAGTCTGAAGGGGCCCTGGGACACACACACACACACACACACACACACACACACACACACACACACACACACACACACACACACAGATATATATATATATATAAATACACACATAGATACACACAAATAACCAGGTTCCCCAAATTTTCCCATATGTTATAGGTTTTTGCCTTCCCCCCTAATTCCCATATTTTCCTGGGAGTCGACGATTCATTGTGTCTGTGCGTTTCTTTCTCTCGTGAAAGTCCATTCGCTTATCGCCACCGGACCAAACAATGCCCCAAGGACGAAGGTGCGGGCAGCTGGGTGCCGTGGCATGTGCCCCCGCTCCGCCGCCTCCCCCTTCGCCCCTCCCCCAGACATCCCCCCCCCGCCCGCGCCCGCCTGGGCGCGGTGGCGGAAGCGCGCGGCCGCAACTGGATAAGTGTGTGATCGTGCACTCCTGTGCAAGTTGAGCAGGGACCGACCGTCTCGGCATTCCTATAGTCATACCACGAAAAGTTCTGCACCCAAACATGTTCAAATAACAAAAACAATATACTTAAAACATAAATAACCCCGATGTGTTAAACCAAGACAATCCCAGCCAAAAATGTTCTAAGAGCATTTCGTGGGAACCACAAAAGGTTCTTAGAACATGGTTTCGTAGGGCTATAGGCGAGCCGGGACGCTTCGCCACTGCTTGAGCAAGGCATCGAATGAAAGGCCGGCGGTATGTTTCACAACAGAAGGACCACCATGAACCTCCCATGGCTGGGCAGCCGTGCCGACGCAAGAACAAACCCAGGACTGGGAAGTCAAGCTAGACGTGCCCACAGAGCACAGAGCAAACTGGCAATGCAACCCGATGCCCCGTGACAATAGCGACAAACCGGCCGCTGGCGGTGGCAAGATTCGGAGGACGACGACGAGTGTACGAGCGCAGAGGGGGGAACGAACGACACGGCGACAGAGGAGAGGACACCTAAGCAGTCAGTGCCCCTCCTCTGCCTCGCGCTGGGCGGCCTTCGTGCTGCCAGGGCGGCGAAGGCCAGCGCCGTGCAGGCGGAGAATTGCATGCGTGTTGCGTGTGTGTGGGTGGCGAAACTGTTGATCTAAATGTCCAAAGACCTCCGGCAAAGCCTCCCTCCACCCCTCGAGAACCCAAACATCAGACAATGTTGTTGCATTCCGAGTCCCCCACAGGTCCCTGTCCTGGATCCATGCTTGATGTCCCTGGGGCACGACAAGCCAAGACGACCTAAGAAATCTGCCAGGCGGCCCAAAGACACCAATACGCACCAACATAGCCTCATGCAAAGCCCAAGAGGCCCCCAACCTCCAAGATACTCCAAGAGGGCCCTTACAGGTCCACTGGGGTCAGAACCTTAGTGGGCCCTGGAAACGGCAAGGCCGTTTTTCACCGTTTCCGAAGAGTGTCCCTTGAAAATGGAAACGGCAAACAAACGGCGACCGGAAACGGCAATAAAAACGGTTCCAGGATTGGAACCGGAGCCGGAACCGGTTAACGGCGACGGAACCGGCAACCGAAACGGCGTCGGCACCGGGAAACAAAACGGCAGAACGGAACCGCTAAAAAACGGCCGTCGTTTCCAGGGCCTACTAAGTTGAAGGGGCCCTGGGACACACAAATAAATACATACAAATAAAAAGATTCCGCATATTTTTCAATATTTCCTGGGTTTCTGTCTCCCCCCCACTTCTCATATTTTCGCATAGCTTCCTAGGGATCGACGAATAATTGTGTCTGTGTTTTTCCCCTCCAGAAAACTTCCCGACGCCCAGTATGGCCCAGTCGGCCCCCGAGATCTCCCCAGGAGGCTCCAGGAGAGCGTCCAGGTCGACTGCAGGTGAGCCCCAGGGCGGCCCACAAGAGGCCACTTGAAACCCCGCAGGAGGCGCCAGGAGGCCACCGCGAGGCTGCCGAGAGGCCCACAAGAGGCCTCCAAGACACCCCCAACTGGCCATCGCTCGGACGTCCATTCCCTGTGTTTTTTTTCCGAATTCGTGCGTGTTTTTTTCGCCAAATGCTCAAGGATGCTCCTCGATGGTCCTCGCCGAAGGAAAAATGCACACGTCCGAGCGATGCCAAGCCAACCTGCTAAACCTCCGAACGGCATCCTGGGCGGCCCATAAGGAGGCCTCCATGACACCCCCAACCAGCTAAACCTCCGAACGGCATCCTGGGCGGCCCATAAGAGGCCTCCAAGACACCCCTAACCTGCTGAACCTCCGAACGGCATCCGAGAGGCATGTGGCCAAGAAGCCAGGAACGGAAAGTGGAGGGCTGGTCCGACGACTACAATCAGAACTGATAGTAAGGATGCGCGATAAATATGCAAGGCCCTGGAACGCCAATCGTGAGAAGTCAAGGATGGACCAAAACGGGAAGGATGCCCTTGGGAAGGTTACCCATCCTGACCGTGAACATTTCGACCGTACTGAGTACTCGATGTCTCGTGTCAAACGGGGAACTGTGGTATGTTACGAGCGCGAAAAGGCCAAACAAGACACCGGGCATGGGGAAAACGAGACCCCCTACATGGACAGCAGCGTGTGTGTGTGTGTGGGCAGCGAAGAAGCGGCAGGAGTGCGAGAGGCTCGCCAAAAAAACCCAACGGGCCAAAGTGCAGCGCAAGCCGATGAATCAACCCGCCCGAGGTCTGGGCATACAGTGCGGGCGCGGCCGCAAGAAACCCTCCCAAAACACCCAACCCTGAGAATCCGCGCGCGAGGTGCACCCGAGGGGAAACCTGGAGCACCCTGAACGCAGCACCTCCTTCAACGGCTGCGGGAAGTCACAGCGCAGCGCGAAGAGCGAAGGAACCCATGATACCCTGACGAAAAGCATACACGTCGGTCGGAAGAAGTAGGCAAACACATGAAGTAGGAAGGCGGATTAAGTTGATTGGGTCCAGCCCCCTAGATAATAACAAAACACAGCAAGAGCGTGTCGATTCTGGAAGTAAGAAGGCGCTTGAAGTAGATTGGGATCTGGGAACCCAGAAATACCTGCTTTCAACGACCGGCGTGTATGGCTTCTTGATGCGCGCCCCCACTGTCGCAAACAGAACACTTTTGATTCGCAGGTCGAGAGCGCACCCCTTCCGGTCGAAGCTAAGCGGGCCGCGCGAAGCCTGAATTAACAAAGAGGGGGGGACCACAAACAGAAAACACAGCCCTCGTGAGAAGCATCTCGACGAGCAGAGCCACCTGGCGAGCGCACCCAGGATGGGGTACCGAGCGGGACGGGACTGCTCCACCGACGCCCCGAACTGCTCGGCATGCGCTCGTTCTGGGAGGTCGGCTTCTAGTAAAGGAAAAAGAACTATGCACATACACCGATTCTGGCCAGGCCCATCCTGAGGCCAGGATCGGTGCATACGCCCTCCTACCTTGGCCAGGAGGTTATATGCACCGATCCTGGGTCAAGGACGGGCCTTGCCAGGATCGGTGCATGTGTATAGTTCTCTTCGCCCGATCTAGGGGGCCAAAAACACACTGGTACCGCCACTCCCTGTCCCAGATTTGTGCCTGATGCCCCTGGGGTACGACGACGGCCTCCATAAGAAACCATCACTAAACCAGAACAATCCGACGGCTCATGGGGCCTGGTCCAGCCGCCTTGGAGAGGAGAGGGGTCCCTCAGACGGTGCCGCGGAGTCAGCTGAGGCGAGCCCAGCCGTGGCGACGAGGGCCCCCCGGGAGGCCCCCCACACAAGAGGACAAGGAGGGCAGGGTAGCGGTGACAGCAGCGACCCCCTGGGGGAGAAGTGAGGGGAGGCAGTCTCAGAAAGCCGCGGGGCTTCTCAGAAGCTTTCGCGCCTTCTGAGGAGCCGCCTGTGTCCGTGGAGATGGCCTGCAAGGCTTCTCAACAAGCGCGAGGGCTTCTGAGAAGCCACCTTAGGAGACTGCCCCCTCTCGCTTTTCCCCTTGGGCTCGCCGCCGAGGATCGGTACCTTTTTCCCTTGGGCGCCCGAGTTATCTGGGGTAACTCGGGTTTGGATGCCCGAAAAAGGAACCCGAGCTAGCCCTGACCCGAATTACCCCTGATGATGTGGGGCTCTGGACGCCCGAATTATCCGGGGTAACTCGGGTCCGGGGTAAGTCGGGGTCGGATTCCCGAAAAAGGAACCCGAGTTAACCCTGACCCGAATTACCCCTGATGATTCGGGGCTCTGATTCTTGCTCTGCCTCGAGGAAGGGCACCGAGGCGGATGGAGATGATCGCTGGGGCGGCGTACGCGCCTGCGCCAATTGTGGGGGTGGGGGTCTCGCCATCGCTCGGACGTCCATTCCCTGTGTTTTTTTCGGTTTCGTGCGTGGCTTCTTCGCCAAATGATCAAGGATGCTCCTCGAGGGTCCTCGCCGAAGGAAAAATGCACACGTCCGAGCGATGCCAGGGGGTGGGGGTGGCTTTGCCAAACACCCGACGCCGTGATTACTGCATGACGTGGACCCCCACGAGGTCTGGACCCCCTTCCCGAGGACCGGCTTTCTGTCCTGAAGCGTGATTGGGCGCTCCTGAGGCCCGGTCGGCGCCCTGGCCGCCTTCGCAGTTCCTCGGCACCCCAGGGGGTGCCATGCCCACCCGCTCGCTCACCCCTAATCTGCGCCAGTGTTACTCTAATGCGTTACCTGGCCCTGACCGTTCGCCTCCTGGGCCCCCCAATAGCCCCCAGAGGCCGCAAAGAGCGAACACAACTCCCGCCGTGATCTGCGTCTCGACGCGCCCCCGCGGGCGCCCCCCGCAGGCTTGGGCGCCCCCCGCCGGCTCTTCCTCCTCCCCCCTTCCCCTTCCCCCCCTCCCGCTCCCGCGCGCCGCTGCCGTGTCGTCCCTCGTCGGTGCTTTCCCTCTCCCTTTGGCCGGCAAAAGAAAACACGCCTCGACGCGAGGGCGTGACTGGGCTTCCCGCCCCCGAGGGAAGGGGCGCCGAGGCGGATGGAGATGATCGTCGGGGCGGCGTACACGCAGAGCGCGGAGAGGCTCACGACGTAGGGCACCTGGACGCGGGCCTGCGCTTGCCCCGGGGCGTGCGCGCGCGGAGGGAGGTCCACGGCGGCGGGCCAGGGCCGCGCGGCCCCCGTCTCGCGGCGAGCCGGGAGCCCTCTGCCTCGACGCGCCTCGTGCTCTCTCCCGCGCCTCTTGCCCAACCTGGAGCCAGGCTCCTCTGACAGGGGGCCCTCTGGCCAAGCGAGGAGCACAGCATCACCACAGGCCTGGCTGCCGAGCATCCTGGTGGCAGCTTGCCCGTCCCAAGGACAGTCGACACTCTCCCGCCACATGTAGGCAGTGGCCTCCCGCTCTTCGTTCCCGCCACCCTTGGTTGGGAGGCAACTCCTGGGAGGCCTCCGTGAGAACGGTTGAGGACGATCAAGCCCAGCATGGGCCATTGCGCAAGATTAGCCCTCATTCAGCCCTGGACTAAACGGCATTGAACAGTATAAAGGTGAATCGAAAGAGGTTCTGTCGGATTGGCAAGGACTTCGACCACGGATACCCCCGCACCGATGCTGAGTGCACACTGCCAGGGTCGCAGTTTTCGTCTACCAACGCCGATGCTTAATGTAACCTGCCAAGACATGCATCCTAAACCACGTCACGTACAGTGGGGGCCTGACCACAAGAAACCGTCCACCAGAAACACAACCCTGACCCCAGGACGTCCACTGATCTTTGGTGTGGGAACGTCACGCTTCCCATGGCAGAACCATCGACACCGAAGAACCCCAGGGCACCCTGGAGGCGAGCAGGGTGCTTCTTGGCATGGGCCCCCACTGCTCTTCCGCCCAGCCGAGCTCGGGAGCGGCCAAGAGGTGTCCAAGAGGGGGGGGTGCAAATCATGACCAGCGGCACGTGCGCGGCCCAGCGGGGGGGCCAGGATCGCAATGAAACAAGAAGAGGCGCCATGAAATCACGGGAAAAATATCATGGCCCACGCCATGATATCCGCCCCCCCCCCCCTAGTCATCACCCCCCTCTTTTCCGCCCCCGACGAGCGGCGGACAAGCCTTCTCCGCTTCGCCCACGTAGTAGGGCAGGTACGACCAGGGCGCGGGCGGCGAGGCGTCGGGCGCCTGCGCCGCCGCGCGCGCCGCGGCGCGCGCCGCGCCGCCCCCCGGGCGCTGCGGGCAGCCCGAGGGCTCGAGGCGCTGACGATCCTCGGCGTCTCGGGCGTCTGCCGTCGACGATCGAGGCTCCGTGGCAAAGGAGAAGGAGGAGGAGGCGGAGGAGGAGGAGGAGGAGGAGGCGGAGAAGGAGGAGGAGGAGGAGGAGGAGGCGGAGTCCGGCGGAGGAGGAGGAGGAGGAGGAGGAGCCCGGAGCCCCGATCCTCGATCGCCCACGCTCGAGGAGCGGAGCTCCGGACGCTCGCCTCGGCGCTCGAAAACTCCTTGGAACTCGCAGGGGGGCTCTCTTCCCGGAAGGGCTCCCAGATGGGCCTGGGAGGGCCTCCAAGGAGGGGCGCCCTGGCCCTGAGACTCTGGAGCCCTCTGCGGAGGTCCCCCCAGGCCTCGGGAGCCCTCTCTGGAAGGAAGCCTCTGAAAGTCCGCGGAAGTCTCCAGAAACCGCCAAGGACCTCCAGGGGCCTCGAGGAGACCTCCGGGGAACCCAGGTCAACTTAATCGAAAGTGAGCCTGGTAACTCAAATAGCATCCGATTCCATGGGGAGCGGATGGCAAATAGCGTCCGGTATCGTACTGAGGTGGTTCAGTAAGAGGAATGGACGGATAAGATAGGATAAGATCGATGTAATGATCTTTCCAGCACATAGCGAACACTCGCGTGTCCGGGCAAATAGGGCGCGCGTGCCTTGAGCCAAAGGCAACGGCGCGCGAGCTATACTCCCGATACTATAACATCTCCCAAAGAGCTACCCTTAAAGTCGGGAGGGGAGGAGACGGAGAGTATAGCCGCGCAGCCGTTAGGCTCTACGAAGGCCGCGCGCGCAACTGTTTGCAAGAAAGAAAACAGTATGTACAGTCTGGCCTAACACCAGACTGTAAGGCGAGTTTCCTAGCAAAGCATTTCACGCAAATACAAAATAGCCCCTTCGGACGATGAAAGGCTATCGGCTCAGTTAGAGGTAAGCCAAACGGGCCATACCTCGCCGAGCAAGCAGGTATTAAGGCAAAGAGCCTGAATCATATAAAGCCGGCCCGATGCCAGGCGTGAAATGTAAGGCTCGTTTCCGAGCAACTAGAAGGGCGCCTCTGTAGTAGGCGCCCATGCTGGCAAATTGGACCGCGGGGGGGCAACAAGGACAGACTAAAATTGATTAGACTTGGGTTTGTTTCTGTCCTCGGGACCCCGAAAGGGAACAAACTGCTTCACGTCATACCTGAATGACTGAGTGCCTGACATCACCTCCAAAAGCAGCTCCCGATCGATGCTTCCCTTTGTATGCCCATCTGCGGTCATATCTCTAGTATCACACCACTGCACGTTATGTACTATACCTATATCCATGAGCTCACGTATCCAACTGATATGTCCAAGCAGAGTCCGTTATGTCGGTCTCTTAAGATCCTTGCTTGATAATGATTTAAAAACAAACTCAGCGTCTATGGTAAGAGATACTTTAATGGCTAGGCCTGCAACTTCACGCATATCTCGTAGTTGTCGTGGAGTCAAAGCTCCTGCCTTGAGCTCGTGGAGAGTGATGAGCGTAGGGTAACACTCATCGAGGTTATGCGCAGCTGCGAGTGCCTCCGCAGCATAGCTGGACCTCACCTGCAGTCGGTGTGATTTGCATAGACCGTCACAGAGGTGAACGACGGATTTGCCTTGAGGCGAGTTTCCTCGCCGTTGTACATTGGCCCCGCGTATGCCGTAGCCCTTAGTCTCATCCCCCTCCTCCCCGGTGAGCTTCCGATACCCCGAATCGCTGTGTATGTCAACATCATTCGTCGGCTTCATCCGAGGGAAGGTGATGCGTTTCGGGCTGCTGATCAGCTTTCGCGTCACAGCATTAAGTCGTCTGACTCGTAGGTTGGTGGGCTCTTGGATTTTCTGGAGAGAGACCACGTATACCATGAGCCAGATTTGAGTAAGGAGGGCATAGGCGAGGGCTCCTCGCAAGCTGACGAACATGTCGGTAATGAGTTCCGTGGCTTTGGCATCGGCCGCCGCTCCTGTGAGTTCTGGGTGTGTGATAGGACGAAGTTGTTTGATACACTCGTCCTGATCCATGATCACGTCCCCTTGGTCATTCTTGGTGCAGCGAACGGCGCAGTTCGTATATGAGTGTTTGTTGAGCTTGCATTTGCCAAACACCTTTTCGACACGTTGTACATAGTCGTCTATATTTTTCTCTAGGCCTGTCATGTTAATATCATCGACATGTTTTGCCGTTAGCAAATCTTGGCTGAATTCAAACTCAGGATCATAACTGGTCGGTGTAAGGCCTATAGATCGTGTGGTCGTACGAAGTTTGAGAGAGAACGCTCTTGGGGCGTCCTTTGTACCCGTTCCTGGTTTGAGGCGCCCGAGGCAGCGTCGGCTTTCGTCATGAGACGAAAAGCCGGGGAGTGCACGAAGTACCTGTGCACTTCCCGGTGGAAGGGCGAAGCAAACCATGCGAGTTTCCTCGCCGGTGGCATGGGGAAGTTCCTCATATGTCAGACCTTTGAGGAACGCCTTATCGATATCCATGGATGCTAAGATCCACTCTGGATGGCATGCCTCCTCACTTGCCAGGAGTCTCTGGGACTGCCTTCGGGCGGTTCCCGAGAAGAGTTTCCACATCGAAAGCCACAGTGTCCATAGATCCACGAAGAACAAGTCTGAGACGAATGGTTTTAACGTTCTCGGTACCCACCTTCACAAGTTTCCACTTATATACATACCTGGATGTCATGATGTTGGAAGCTTTGGATAAATCATACATCTCAAAGCATCGGTTATCGATCCAGATTTTAAGTTCAGTGTGTAAAGCTTCATTAACCTCTTTTGGATGTGCTGCTATGTCGGCTTTGGTGAGTCGGTCATCTTCCTTGACTACCACAGCACGTTTAGCAGCAGAGGATACATATACTCTCATCGTTGCGACCATATCAGTGTCGAGCTGTGCAAGTTGAGTCTGATCCAACATTACCTTTGACATTTCTGATGTAAAACATAACTCAACATAGGGACTATATTCATCACTGTCAAGAGAGTAGCTCTCAGCAGAGAGAGACTAGACAGGACTCTCGTGGATCAGGCTCGTCTCCGAGCGATTCCGACAATACGATATCTTCTTCGTCCACAGATGCTGAAACCAAAACACATTGGTCGGGCAGCATGGTTGTTGGGATGCAGTAAAGATAATGGTCGGTAGTTGTCGTGGGATGAAGGTCCATACGTAACTCGTCGAACCACTCTTCCAGTATCATAGCTTCGATAATATGTTCATCGTTTTCTTCATAGATTGTCGACAGACGGCCTTCACTCGGCGATGAAGCACCTGGGGTGTCTGGTGGAGGCCTGTTTCCAGGCGAATCGTGTTCTCCAGACGTGGTGCTTGAGTGCTGATATTTGGCCAAGTCGTCGTGAAATCCTAAGGAAGGGACACGTGAAGTCAAGCATTGGATATGTCTGGAATGAGTGCTACCAGTCATTTGAGAAATGTTCAGGCCAGTGCCCACACACTCATAGTAGTGGAAGGCTGGGCTGATGTCGTTGTCGTAGTGGATCAGCGTAGACCCGGTGGCGTACTGTACTGCAGGTAGACTTGACACACTTTTGGCCAACCTAACTGCTACTACGTGTTCTACTCGGAAATAATTTCGCACGAGATACTGTAGTGCTAGATGTACGCGCGGGTGAAACTTGCTGTCGTCTGTAAGATTGAGGTTTCCCTTGTAATCTGGGATGTAGCCGAAGACTGTGGCAGGTTTCCCTGCGCCAAGATGTGCCACATATGTAAGGGCGGTTTGCATGGCCATATTATCCATGCCAAGTTCCCGTGTGAGGAGACATTCAATGTATAGTGTGTGACGAGCATCAGGATGCATCACAATTACCTCACGAGATCCTGCCTTGACGACAATATGTCCTCTTTCAGGCACGTTACGGATCACCGGGAATGGGCCGTTCCAGCCTCCATGATCGTCCTTAGTGGCAGTGGGTCGATGGTAGTCGACCAAATCCCCTGTTGAGTAAGGGCGAGCACCATCAGGAGCCGTTTTAGCCCTGAGAGCACGATTTGTCTTGGCCACAGCAGTGGCTTGAGTTATGGCGTCTAGGCTAACTTCCCTCACACGACGTTCCCGTTCGTGTCCTGATGTCTCGGGTCCCTTGGGAAAGTCAAGAGTGTCGAGGTCAGGAAGGAAGGAGGGCTGACGTCCAGTGTGTGCTTGGTATGGCGATACTCCGTTGTAAAACGTGAAGGCATTAGTAACGAAGATTCCTTCAGCCAAAACTCTAGTGAATACAACAGGGATGTTGTGTCTATTCAGCTCTTCCTCAATCATGTGGAGGACGCCCCTGAGAATGCCGTTTCGTGATTCAATTGAAGTCGCGTGTTGGCCAGGCGCTCGGATACGAAGTTCTGCACCCTTATTGGCCATCATGGCCTTAGCGGCATCATTGTTCAGGGCGCCTTCTCCGTCTGAGTATAAGACTTTGAAGGGTCCATGATAGGCAATCCAGCAGCAGTGGTAGGCGTCAAGTATTGTATCACGTTCTCTGTCGGAGATTTCTTGGCCTGCTGCCAGGCGAATGCAACGGTCCATAATGTGGAATATGGTCCGTTTCTTATAAAACATGAGATCCATTTCGCCTTCATCGAGCCAATTACCAGGAACGCTCACCGAAGGTAATGTTGAGTTTCCTGGACGTTCCCATGCTCTGCATTCCCGACAGGTATCGCAAACTTCTTTGATCATATTCAGTCGAACGTTGTCCAGTCCCACTTTGTCTAGGATTAGCCTCATCTTGGGTTCCTTCGCATGATACCACCGCAGGTGCAGTTTACGGAGTTCCTTTTTAACGACATGAGGTTCGTGACTACGGAGATTTTGCAAACTGTGTAGGATGTCGAATCTCGTCCAGTCGGGTAGTCGTGGAGCCCCCGAGCCGGTGGAGGCAAAGGGGT